CCGCGTGCAGGTCGTCGCGCGAAACGGACGACACGTCCTCGGACAGCGCGCAGATCAGCGTACTCGACGACTCTTCCGGGATGACCTCCATGGTGCCGACGATGCTCGAGATGAGAGAGGTTTTCATCGGGAGAGGAGAGATCGCATCGTACCCCGCCAAACGTAGATCTTCGTTTATGTACCCTATTGTTCTCTTCTCCGCTCCCATGATTTGCGGCCTTTCCGTCAAATACAATCTGGTATCTCTCAAGACGTCCCTCTCGTTCCGTAGTTCTATTTCATTCCTCTTCTTAGGGGAAGGTAAATGACGGATCTCCGAAGAGGGGCTGCTGATTGATGGTAATTGCATTTGTTGTTTGGTTCTGTCCGAAGAGTTCATTCTACTACACACTCCTTTCTTCACTGCATTTGCATCTCGAGCTAATTCATCCAATAATTTATCGAATCCCTCGATATCGAAATCTTCAAAATGATCGTCAAAGGAGGGCGATGGTGTACTTCTTCGAGAATTTTCTGAAGGAGAAAATGTTTCAAATTTACCACTTTTTTCCGGTGAGGAACCGGACATGCCGATGCAAACTTACTAGCAAATAAGTTTCCAATGTGGCTGTGAGTTCTTCAGCCGACACCGTGTTTTTTAACATTTATACTGTTGATATAAATAATACCTTGAGTCTTGACACAACATGTGCACCAATCTGAAGGAACATGCTGAAATATTCCAAATACTGCTATCAGAAATAACTTATACATGTATACAGATCTAACAAATTATAACCAGGCATAAGGAAAGGCTGATGACGAATTCTGCAAGTCATTTGTGATCCTGTTTCTTGACGTTTATTCATATAATCCTCTGCCTTGTTAATGCAATTAAGAAAAATATTTGCTAGAAACTTAGTTTCACAATTCACACGAGCAGGCATTCACAGAACCCTTCAATATGCACCCCACAATCGTAACCGCACGAACACTTCTTACGGAAATTTACACATATCTACACTATTTAGGTTACTTTTCCTATTATTGTTCCAGAAGTTGGCAGAAATTTAGTCCGCTATGATAAATGAAATTCCACGGCCCACAAGTATTTGTATTGGTAAACATTTATAAAATTCTTTGACGTTTAAAACAACAATTGCAACAAAGACATAGCGTTATTGATATGAAATGTCATGAACCCGCAAAATAAGCGTTAGAGCAAAACTTCCCTCGTAACGAGTTTGTCGCTCTGCAACTGGTCATTAATTTGATTTAATACAATCGCATATCGATGTGAAAATTGTGAACATGCGAATGAGTAAATGGTCCTTTCTCATTTGCTTTAGTTTTCAATTAGAACATGAAAAGTCACATACAAAACGAACAAGTGTGAATGCTACATGGAATGCTTAATACCTACAGTATACAGATCAGGACACATATTCATTTTGACGTATTGATAAAGAACTGCAATATTAAGAGGATCAAATATATTCTTACTTTCATTAATAGTTAACGACAAACTCTTCAAAACTAATAATTATTAATTAAGTTATGTTATTCTAAGAACATAGTTTGTAGTATTATATTAGTCATTTTAAACATACAAAACGTAATAACACTTTAGTTTTTAGATATTTCAACTTTGTTTTTGTATATGAAAGGTATAGTGCAGGAAATACACAAAATATTTCAGGTGGCTATTATATAAATATGAATAAAATAAAAAATGAAAGCGGAAATCATTTATTTAATTTAATATTAATATATTATTCAAAAAGATATTAAAATTGCCTGAATTTTTGGAGGAATAATTTCAATTCATTACTCAATTATTATTGGAAGTATAAGTATAAAGATAAAATAATTACTCATTTTCTACACGAAAGCACGAATATGTGATGAAATATTAGAGAAAAGCTTTTTCCAATCCATGGTAGATCTTAAGATTTTTATTCACGCTAGTCACGGAAGCAATATTGATTTTCTTATTAATTTCTGAGAAATATGGCACCGGTTCTCAGAAGTGAGTAAGCAATTACGAAATAAACACACCATAACATCACCAATCTGAAAAAAAGAATTATGCCACAGAATGGCACAGAATTTCCCATATTTGTTTTCTGCTTCTTTTGACTCAACTAGCAATTTGGATTGCCACAAACACTTGCCAACTGCCATCTATCGCCGCCCAAACTACATTTCTTTTCAACTGTTCATTATTTATCGGTGTCCTAACAGTAGAACGGAAATAGAATTTTAAGAATATTAAAGAACAGTAAAATCTTGTCCCAAATGGCAGTATTCTTTGCAAAATTCGGAGACGTTGTTTAGAAAATGGCGTTTAAGCGCTACTCTAAATTGGAAATTTGAAGCTCTTATTCGCAAAAAAGTTTTGAGTTTACAAAAATCTTTATTGAACGTGGTTTAAAGCACATTTACTCAAAAATACAATAGTGTTTACAAATTGCTGGAAATGAGATTATCAATGGCGTGAGATATATTTAAAAAAATTACATTTGTGTACCTTTTGAAAAAACAAAAACTACCTCAATACGTCATACTAAAGAATGCAATTAGCACTATTTTTAGAAAATCTGGTTTGGGGATTTTTTTAAATTGCAAATATTTCACGCAATACTTCACGAAAACTACTAGAAGATTCAGAAAATATTCATGACCTTAATGAAAAAAATAATTATGAACAGCAAATTTAACATGAAGGAAATACCTCTATTTTCAATTTTGTAGTTGTGGAAAACCCGGGAAAATGAAAACTTTTAACAAATTTAGAAAATCCAGAGTTAATTGAGAAAATCGGACCTATGACACCTTTATAAGTGTATTTTATTCTATTGCTAGAATAAATTTACAGAACAAATTTGGAGCCGTTTTTGAGAAAAAATTGAAAATGTGGCCTCTTGTAAAGTACCCCCCAATTTTGAAGAAAGTATTTCACAATCGCGGCGCCTCCAGTGGAGTTAGATTGATTCGGGAATATCCAATTTGGAAATATTCGTACTTATGGTTTAAGCTCTAGTGGTGTTCAGAGACTGACGGACGGATGATGTTTTGTATCACGGACCAACAGATGAGGGATTCTGGCTACACCACGTGTTAGAAGATTTTTTCTAATTTAGCAACTGGATTTATCTACTTTTTCTTTATTAGGACCCGGCAATGAATTTTGTTTTGTCGAAAATCCGCCGCGTTTTCGGTCAGCTAACGTAACTTTCAATAAACTACGTATATTACTCCGTATATTTACGTATGTGTACGGGAACGTAAAATCATTACACTAAAGTAATACAATATAAAAATGTTTGGCTTGCATACATTATCTTTGTTTTTGAATACTGACAAGAGGGAGACAAGGCGCAATTAAACATTTTTACGCTTCACATTTCAGAAGAATTCGTTTTTAATTTCAATTCTTGTTCAGTGTAGTATAAGTGGAACGAACATCGGGAGCCATGACGAAACCACTTGAAAGCCACCTTGCCGCTATTTCACCATAAGTTCCCCTTGTATGGCCCTCAAACGACGGGGAGCAGTGGTTGAGAGCAAGTGGCCTTCCAGCGGGGAAAGGAGGGGGCGCCTGTGGTCGACCGATGAATGGGTGAGAACATCCCACATACGCATTCTTTTGGAGGTGAAGTAAAACCGCCCAAGTAAAGTAAAACGTCCCGAGTTATACCTCGCTAGGGGGGGATCTCTTGGGGGAGGACGTAACGTCCACTCGGACCCGAGTAACTCTGCGGCACTGACGTCGTTAGCCTTAAGATGGCCCGCCAGCAACCTTTTGTCAGGACTGGGCGTGGGCTGCGTTAGTCGGCGTCCTATGTGCAGCGGGCGGCCGATCTCAACCCACAGATAACAGACCGGACGGGAGCATGGGCCAGGTTTGCCTAGGTTCCCGCGGCACTCACGTCCATAGCTTCAAGATAGAGACTATGAGAGGGTTTGGGGGCCCCGAACTCCCCGACCCTAGTTCGAATGGCCTCCAGTTTGGTACTTGGTTTCGTCGTGGCAGTGGCCCGATACTCTGTGAAAAGAGGAGGGACTTGTCCCGTCGCATGTGATTGGCACTTAATTTGACTCCGCTGCTAGCCTGGAGAACTAGAAGCACTGATCTCGCAGAGTGGTATGACCCAGGCATTGAATGGGGAGATTACCACGAGGGTCAAATCTGTTCCGGCGG